GCTAAAACTGGGCCTAAGGATGAGCCCATCGCAACTCCATTATGTTGTTCATACATTCTGTTATTAAAAATAAAATTAGTAAAGTTGGAAAATTATCTCTGTCAATACATTGATTATACCGGTACTTTCGATCCCTTTCGAAGCAAAAAGTATTTCTGAAAAATCTTGAAAACAATGTAGCATCCAGGTGGCATTGTGGAACAAATGTTGTTCAGAATCCACTTTTACACCGGATGAATGGAGGAGATTTTGGAATCTTAAAACACTATTTTTAATAGTCGAATTTTTCGTAAGAGTCACTGCACGAGTCGGATTTCGAGGTGTAAATTTCAGAATGTCGAGTATTTAAGAGTTACTGCATGAGTGAGACAGCGAAAGTTGTCAATCGTTGTTTGACTTTTTGACTCAGAATTTCACCGTAGATAGAGGGTACATATATAGGAAGATTCTCAGAATTTTTTCGTTCGGACTTACTTCGTCAAAACTTATAGAGCCTTTCGTAAAAGCCCTAAAAATAGCCTAAAACGATACTTGTATAAAAGTCAAATTTCTGATGTTTATATCTTGGTCTAAGAAGTTAATTAAGAGCTCGTATTTGCAGCATAAGTAGTCGAGGTCGGATACTATCTATAAGCAAGAGCATATGCAAAACTCGCAAAAATAAGTTTTGCATATGTGCGAACATATGCGCACAAGTTGGTAAAATTTTGCTGAGACGAACAGTTTGGCGTAATATTTTTTAACCTAAAAAGTTTCTTATTGCATTGAGTGCTACTTCTATCCATTGTACAAGTATACCTACACTATAAATTATGAAATCGATCCATATATGTCTCTTGATTGATGCACAGCTGTGCTCGAAAGTCGATAGAAAACGGTCGAAAACTAAGTCGACTGATGTGTGTTTCTATCAAATACGAGCACTTTTATCTTTTTTGAATTTTCACTTTGTAGAGATTTTCGCCAAAAAATAAAAATGAACTAAAATTTCGAAATACTCACCAATCGATTTAGTTCTCCATCCTGATTCCGAACATAATATTTTTATTACATAGAACTGGAGTTCTGGTTGAGAAAATTGGGAATTGGTCAGTTTTTGGACACCAAACATGATTTAAAACGGATTTTTCAGACAAAAAAGGAAAAAATTAAATCAAGTATACCTACACTATAAATTATGAAATCGATCCATACAAGTCTCTTGGTTGATGCACGGCTGTGCTCGAAAGTCGATAGAAAAGAAAAAATCGCCTACTTTCCAGTCGATTTTCTCGTCCGATAGTGTTCCAAATTATTATTATTGCTGTTCGTGCCTTCGCGGCCTCTGTATTGGCTTCGGCGGCTTTAGCACATGCATATTTGCTACAACAGAAATCCACGTTGGACGGTCTTTAGCGAGTCGTTCAAGGTCTTGTAAATCGTTTAGACTCTTTAGCTGTATCGGTAAAAGTTCTAAAACTGGAATAGGTGGCTGCTGTTTTGCTACCAGTTTTAGATCGTCGTTCATGATTATTGGCAGGGTGGTCCTCTGTCTGCCTAGAAAGCTGCTGTTGATTTTAGAGAAGTATTGAATAGCTGGTGTGTCGTCAGACATTCGTAGGACATGTCCGAGCATTCGGCACCGATCTGCGCGGATGAGATCTAGTAATTTTGTAGTTTTATACTTCTCGTAGAGTTCCTCGCTGGAGATTGAGCGAGGGTAGTAGACTTTGAGGACATGGCGCAGTTGCTTGCGTCGAAACGATTCCAGTTGTTCAAACTCAGTTTCAGTTGGTGCCCATGTGCATGCATTGTACATTAGTATTGGCATGACATAGGCATTGTAGAACCGCAAGCGTTTGGACATGCTAATGTTGTTGTTTTTTCGGCACCAGATGCGCTGTAGTTTACCGAATGATGCAGCTGCTAGTTGCTTTCGACGATTTATCTCTTCTGTGTGGCCAAGAAGAGTGCCTAGCTTTTTGGTGTTTTGCCAGGTTTCGTCTTTTCGGTCTTCTTCTCGTTTTAGAACTGTTTTCTCGGTCTTATCTCGGTTCATTGCTAAATTCAGGTTTTTAAAATTCTCTCCGCTTCGATTTCGATGTTGTCGACGACCTCTTCCGATCTGCTGATAAAGTCAGTATCGTCAGCATAGATAACTTCATGCGGAATATTATTGTCTTGAGGTGGTCGAGGGCAGGCTGCTCGAATCTGTCTCATGACATGAGTGTTCCAAATGTTGGAACAATAATGTCGCTGTAATCTATGTACCCAATATTATTCATCCTCAAAGTCGATTTTTTGGGGGATTCGCATATGGCTCTGGAAAGGGTCTCTGAAAACCCGAATTTTCACATGAAGACACGATCAAATGATGCGATGTCTGTGAGTGATAGCCTGAAAGTGCATAGAATGGGAGAATTGCTTTTAATGGCTGGATAGGTCACGATAACTTAATTAGTCGGGAGCAATCGACCGGTAATTGGAAGGAATGATTTCGACTACCATTCAATGAATTGTCTGTTGTGCACATCACGTCCATGTTTATTTCGAGAAAAGAATTTTAGAAAAAATGACTTCTACTTTATTTTTGCCACTGTTTAACGTCTTCCGCTGTTTCTCTTTCAACTACAAATGGATCAGCCTTATGCCGAAACGATTGTCCATCTTCACTCATCAATGGTGTTGAGGCGTACTGTACGTTGAGTGCTGAACGGAGTGCGCCACTACGATTCGGCGATGAGCAATGCAGTGTTAAACTAGAGAAAACCGCGATACCTCCAGCCGGACATAGAATTTTCGCACCAGGATCACATCCAAAGTAACCGCGTAGATCTGCCTGAATCTGATCCTTCTTGCCATGGTCATAGGCCGGCCGACATTCAGCCGCATCCGGACGTGTATTAGCTGTGAACTGCACTCGATGTTTGTCGTCTTCCGGTGGGTTTCTATCCATTGGTAGTATTGCCACAGTTCCTGTTTCTTCGGTCATATCTGTCAGAGGACACCAGCACGTTTAGGGAACGTGATTGTAAGGGACATAACCACTATCTTGATGCCAGTCAAAGGCGGTTTGATTGTTGTTGTTGTCACCTTGTTGAGCTCCTCCACGTTTAACGACAATGCCAGAAAAAGTAAAGTAGGATGTCCTGCCGAGAACAGCTAAAAGTCGCACAAATAATTGAGAGATATGTGAGCACCAAAAAGTCATTTCTTTCTTACTACCTCGAACAATCTGTTCCATATATTGATTGAGTATGATTTTCTTCGTTGCTACTTCCTGCTCTTCATGCATAAAAAAGAAGTATTTACCAACTTTGGAGCAAAGTATCAAACCGTCTTCATCCGTGCCTGGTGACTTCATTTCTTGATCGCGCTTGGCAATTGCACGTTGAATTATATCGTTCATCAGATGAATGTGATCGGATGGCATGACAGATGGTAAGCGAAATAGCTATAGGAAAGTAGAAGAAATTAGCAACAACAAAACATTTCAAAATAAAAACAACAGTTAACAAAGCCGGGTGTACCCATGTTCATCGAATTGTTTTACGTGCTCTTCAGTTACGAGAGTTGCCATTTTCCGTATTCGCTCTCGGTAGAACAGAACTATAAAAGAGTAAAAAAACACGTTTTCTTTTTGTTGTTTTCTGTTAGATAACCTATGTAAATAAAAGCACAGATATGAAGTGTCATGAAGCGACCAAAGTTTATTCGAGGTATTTGTGAAGAATTTTGTCGAAGGAAATCGACAATCTCAAGCTAAGTCAAGAAGAGACACATCAGTCCCAAATCTGTCTGTATTGACTGTTCTCAACGAAGAACTGTTTCATGATCTTGAAGAAGTTTTCCAATTCAATCCTCTTCGTCCAGAAGACATTGAGTTTTTAAGGTCAATGCCATCGGCTATCTTGCTTTTGAAACAGGCCGTAGCTCTCAGAAGTTGTTCTCCTCACTTGTCGCGATCGAGTAGTTCATATCGAAAATTCAAATGTGCGTCCATACGTGCGGCCAATAAAGTCAAGAACGACAGAAGATACTCTCTAAAAAAAAGGTACTCCATCGAACCTTAAAAAGGTTTAAACATTTCTCACCATTTATATACCATTTTAAGGCACCCTAAATCCGTCACTGAAAAAAAATTGCATAAAACTTCCACCCTCAGTCTAACTAAGCTTTTCCCAGTCATGGATTTAGGGTGCTGGCGAGGTATATAATTTGTATGAAACCTTAACCGGTACACAGTGGGCAACTAAGCGGACATTAGGCCAAAAAGTCGATTTTATCTATCTTGAAATACAAATAGTGCAAAATGTAGCTCTTGAAATTCTCTATCGAATGGTGTATAAACGTCTATTGTGAAA